CAGAGGATAGTCCCCCTGCAGAGGACAGTCTCCCTGACGAGGACAGTGTCCTGCAGAGGACTGTCTACCTGCAGAGGACAGTCTACCAACAGAGGACAGTGTCCTGCAGAGGACAGTCCCCCTGCAGAGGACAGTCTACCAACAGAGGACAGTCCCCCTGCACAGGACAGTCTACCTGCAGAGGACAGTCCCCCTGCAGAGGACAGTCCCGCTGCAGAGGACAGTCCCCCTGCAGAGGACAGTGTCCTGCACAGGACAGTCTACCTGCAGAGGACAGTCCCCCTGCACAGGACAGTCTACCTGCAGAGGACAGTCCCCCTGCACAGGACAGTCTACCTGCAGAGGACAGTCCCCCTGCAGAGGACAGTCCCGCTGCAGAGGACAGTCCCCCTGCAGAGGACAGTGTCCTGCAGAGGACAGTGTCCTTCAGAGGATAGTCCCCCTGCAGAGGACAGTCTCCCTGACGAGGACAGTGTCCTGCAGAGGACTGTCTACCTGCAGAGGACAGTCTACCAACAGAGGACAGTGTCCTGCAGAGGACAGTCCCCCTGCAGAGGACAGTCTACCAACAGAGCACAGTCTACCAACAGAGGACAGTCCCCCTGCAGAGGACAGTGTCCTGCAGAGGACAGTCTACCAACAGAGGACAGTCTACCAACAGAGCACAGTCTACCAACAGAGGACAGTCTACCAACAGAGCACAGTCTACCAATAGAGGACAGTCCCCCTGCAGAGGACAGTGTCCTGCAAAGGACAGTCCCCCTGCAGGTCTGGTTGTTGCAGAGCTCAGAGGACATGGGTTCTTGTGTCTCTGTTGACTCTTCAGTTTGTCCTTACGACTCCAGCTGACATTATTTATGTTCCAGATCCTGAAGCTTCCAGCAGCTTAACCCCACAGCAACATTTGAACAACACAGCCTTTAACCCACCTAAACGATGTCAGCCCCCCCATCAGTCACCTCTAAGCTCAGGTTGTTGTGCAGACATGACAGGTGGACGTATCACCTCCTCAGTCACAGCTTTGTGTCTTCCTCCTGCTGGTCCTCGTCCTCCTGTCCCACCTGCCTGCCCGTTCTCACAGGTCAGACCACAGACAATGAATCCTGAACTTCCTGCACCTCGGCACAGGAAGAAAGATGTGCAGCCGACCTTCTGAAGTCCTTCCAGTCACCTCAGAGCTGCAGGACATTCACCACAAACCTGATGACGATGCTCTCAAATGTTTCTATTCAGCTGCAGCTGCTGACTGAATAACGTGCACAGATGTGTGTGCTTGACTTACCTGATGTGCATGTTAAACCTGTTTAACATGTTTGACATGTTAAACAGGTTTAACATGTTAAACAGGTTTAACATGTTAAACAGGTTTAACATGTTAAACCTGTTTAACATGTTAAACAGGTTTAACATGTTAAACCTGTTTAACATGTTAAACCTGTTTAACATGTTAAACCTGCAAAACCTGTAAAACCTGTAAAACCTGTAAAACTCGTCAAATATGTCAAACCTGCTCTGAGTATCTTTCTGCTTTTTTTAGGACAGCTCAAGGTTTAAAAAGAGTAACCAGACTCAGGATTCGTCAGCTACTTGTTATCCTGTTGATGCTAAACTTTAATATTTTTAATCTTATAAAGTTTTGCTTTCAGTCCATCCACACTGACTCTAAATAAACGAATACTAATTCCTGAATCTGCAACAACAGACACTGAAAGCTGTCTGTGTTAAAACACATACTTACTCTAAACTGTGATGCCAACTCATGTTGAGCCTTTGGACAAATGCAGATCTAATAACACCTTACATCTCAGCACACTTAGCAATGCTAAGCATTCAGCACGATCCCACAGCACAGAGCCAGCATTCTAATAAAGCTCTGAACAGCAGTCGACTGGCACACACATACATGCACAGAAATGACCCGCGGACGCCACACAGAAACCCAAATATACCAGGTTCAAAACACACACACACAGCTGCAAAGCCCAGCTGCCCTGTGCAGAGGTAGACACCTGTCTGAGAGAGCGTGGGGGGCTCAAATGAAAGGCTGAATCCAAATCTCAGAAGCTCAAAAGAGGACAAAGAGAAACACACCCACAAGAACACACAGGATAAAGGTAATTTATTTCCCTAGGAAGGTTTGCATGAGCTTTAACACAGTGTGTGTGTGTGTGCACACGCAGCTATGGAAGCATCAGCATGAAAACTCATTATTGTCAGCTCCACTGTTCGAAACAATGCCAGCCTCCTGTCTGTGAGCATCGTTGGAAGGTGCCACTGTAAAAGCGTCGAAGCTATCTGTTGATATCTTTGCAATTATGTCTCCATCTCTGCTC